TTCTTTTAGCGAGATTTGTTTCTTGCTCTTGGTGGTCGCGATTTTCATTATATTTTCCACCACGATAACTTTTCTCATATCAATTTTTGGGTCTAATAACAATATCTTTGTATTGTGTAAGTATATCGTCAATAAAGCCTGTGTACTCATTTTTCTTAACAGCCTGGTATATGATTACAGAAGTGGAGCAATTAAACTGTTTAAAATATAGTTAGAAAACCTAAGTTTGGGCCCATCGCAATCAACATCGTAATTCACTGTGTTTAATTTGCTATTAGAGTAACACCATAACTGGTCTAGTGCACTGTTACTAGTCTGAGACTACACTAAGAGCATACGTCTTCTGACGAACAACGCAGCCACTTGTCAGTCAAAGCGTATTAAAATGAGTGCCACGCCTGAATTGACAAATAGTGTAAAGTTCTTTCTTGAAATCGCCCGCGTGTAGTTTTTTTATTGTAATATTTGCATACTGTATATTCTCTCTCTGTCGTTTATTACTGAACCTGAGATCAATACCAAGAATGAAGTTTCCAAAAATGATGGTTTTCAATACCTTCTTGATCATTATATCCAAGGTTTACTAATATAACTTACTCAATTGGCATAGTTATGCTAATTATGACGTAAGCTACCACGTGATGTCATGCTAACGTCACCAACGCACACACTGTTTACAGACGAATGGTCTCGTGTGTCGACAGTGAAACACAGAACCCGGACAATAATTTAGCTTTCTGGATATACAGAGTACTGCGTATAAGTTTCTTGAATTATACCACGGTTATTAAAAGTAACGTGATTTATATTGATACATTGCTTTCGGTGGACACACTGCAGCGATAAATCCATGCCACAGTCTCTGAATTGTGAGTGGTAAAGCTATCCGTGTCTTGGTGGAGTAAAGTGTTACGTAGTAGGTGACTGAGACATAGGAGCGGTAGGTTTGTCTGGATGACGGGGATGTTTTCGGGGTTACTGTAAAATTCTCCTGGTCACGGTGAGATGGATTTTCCCAGTGTGGACACGTGTAAGTTTTACCTGCGTCACGGTGGGGTGAAGATTACTCAGTCGCATATAGATTCTGGAAACGTCAAAAACATGAACCTATTTTCTGAGGTCTATGATCGACGCTAAGAGCGGACATTAATTTCATCTCTGAATATGTGGGCGCGTTTAACTTCCATTAACTAGTATACATTGAATGCTGACATTGCATCACAAAATTTTGACATTTTACCTTGTTAAAAATAAATTATTTGTTGCCATGGAAACAGCGAATGTATAACCATTAAACCTTATTATGACAGTCATTTTAAAATAATATTGAGGGTCATGATTCAAACAGTTAATATAGGTACCCCATGTTTTCATAATACCAGTCCAGGGCATGCCAGAAAATCGATGTGTCAAGGGAGCGTCCACTTTGACTTCGATACGCCAGTCAGACCCACTCGACTCGAGTACAATATACTAATCTACATATAATGTATGTATGCATGGGGACATGGATGGGGGGAAAAGATCTTATATAACTTATGTAGATAGTTATCTGTGGTAAAAAGATAAAGTGTTTGTGGAAGAGAAACCAATTGACTCATTGACTCCATACAATCATATATTTACATCATGCTTTTAATTAAATTATTAAAATAAATAAAGTATAAAACATCCATATTTTACAGTCATCGAAATCAATTCAAAAACGTTGACTCTTAGTAATCGAGTCATAGCATAAGCACAAATTTATTTCAAACGAGCGTCTTAGTTTTGTGTTTTGTTTCTTCTTTCTCGGTAACAGTCCGGGTAACAGTTATAAGATGAAACGAAGTTGCTGTCGCGGTTCCTAGAGTCTTCGTGGCTCGATTATTGAATGAAGTCACGGTGGGCTCTGCCTCTGTAGTTGCAAGTTTACATCAAAGGGTATATTACTATAGTAGAAATCAGTGTAGCATGCAGTAGTCCGCGTCCTCGGAAATCTGTAAAATTAAAGAGAAATGAAAAATTTATAAAATCATCACATTCACCAGAGGGGTCATATTAATATTGGGGTGGGCCAGGCTCGATTTCCTTCTACAGGGAAAAAGATTTATTTGGCATGGAGGTAAAATAGAATCCACGTGGTTTCCGCGTATACCTATAAGGCTATAAGGTACTACGTGGTTTTACTGAAACCATAGAAATTTATAAAAGCACGTGCCTGTGTAAATAAAACCATTTACCTCTAGGATGAAACCATTGTTATTATTTTTTGGTGTGAACGTTTTATTTGCTCATCCAAAGTAACTTAGGATTGAATAATGCGTCTTTACAACTTGTACAATGGGTCAGATTAGGGTGGGACAAAATCACCTGTCAATCAGATGCATAATCCAAACAAGACGCTTACACAAGCGTGAAGTTTTGTTTTTGTCTGCTCGAAAATGAAGACAAATCAGAATAGATGACAAATACTGTAGAATACTTTATTTTCGCTTGGAATTTATTTTCGCTGAAGGGATGATTCCGTGAAAATAAAATCCAGCGAATATACTTTTTTTCCTATATTTCACATTCAACTCATCAAAAATCAGTGAAAATAAATTCCATAAATAACGCCCAAAAAGCCTTTTCAGAGAAAATTAATTCCAGCGAAAATAAAGTATTCCACAGTAGTTACTAACCCTAAACATGCAATATATTTCATAATCAAATTTCCAAAAAAAAGTACAATAGATCTTTTGAGCTTAATGTAATGAAATTATTTCTTACCGGACTGTAGACGTTGTTATTCATTGCAGTATATGAATGGACTATCTCTTCATTGGTGGCAAATTTCGCTTTGCTGTCATGGTGATGATGCTGACATGGTGATGCTGGAACTAAGGTTGAAACTGGTGTGGCTCGCCTGTAGGAGGTCTGCGTTTTTCGAGATACGATCTCATTTTGTGTCTGGTTGGATTGTTTTTGCTGACTTGTAGATGCTGGACTGCTACGCAGTTCTTGTATGTGTTTCCGGTATTTCTGATTGAGTATGGCGTCACAATTGTCCTCTCCGTGCTCCAAGAGATTCCCTAAATAACCGATATACTCAATGGCCGACTTTAGGGTGTTGATCTTCGAGAGCCGCTTCGTTGAAACTGACTTAGGTAAAACTTGTCGCAAACTGCCAAGACCGTCAATGATTTTGTGCATTCGGTCTCTTTCTCTCTTGTTAGCCAAACTTCTGTCTTTGACGCCGGTACCCTGACGCGTTCTGTCTCTTTTCCATGTGTATGACGGTGTTGGTTCTCTTTCTAATTCGCCACACTCGTCGTTGCCGGACAGACCGTGACATTCATCGTATTCCGTACCCTGTGAAAGATTTTGGAAGTCGATGGCGTTGACTTGATCTGCCAGGCTTGTGTGGGAGTGTACAGACATCGGTGTGCATTGTTGATCGTTTTTCGTAACCAGATGATTCCCGTGACACTCATCCTTGTCATACTCGATACACGGTATGGAATCTGGATACATAGAATCTTCAAATGGATACGTCTGGTAAGAGTAGTCATTATACTGGCAACTGGTGAAATCTGGAACCTGTCTCTCCATCTTGATATGTAACTCAGGTGGTATACGTCAGCAGACTGGAAGCTGTGATGCTATGAAGCCAATGCAAAGGGAGGGGGTACTATTTATACTTTTGACTTCGATTGACAACAACGAACAAACAAATCTAACTAATCCAGCATATAAACAACCTTGCTTACGTAATGAATAGCTCAAACTTGGCGCGTGGAGTGGACGATTCCATTATTCAAAAAGTAAGATGGGAACATGAGACGTAAGTACATGTACCATGTACTGGTCTGGGTGTGCATGCGAAAGATAATAAACTATATTTTTCATAATAAAAATAAAATTAAACGTCAAACTGTACGACCAGATACTGAAGTTTCTCTACTCTACCATTAATTGTGTATAATTGGTCCATAATTAAACACGTGATAATTAAATAAAACCAACGCCTGGACTGGGATCCGACATTCATGGTAACATAGTTATAAATATGACCACTGCCCGACCTTTTTGGTTATTTCACCCACCCGTTCGTTGGTGTTGTTCATTGGGCCCTGTAAACACGTAGAGTGAATTTTGGCAAGTTTGAAAATTTTACTCGGTGCTTCGTTACAAAGGAGGCCAATCGTACTTCATTTGACAAGTGCTGCAAAATCCGTATGTGATACATGGAGATGCGTATGAATTCCTTGCTAAACTATCGGTGAACGGGAAACATTGAAGCACGTGGTAGCTCAAATAATGAGGTACCCAACTTATCCAATGTTGAATATTGAACATTTGTCGGTTTACATGTTAAGTTTTAAAAAATCCAGAAAAACAAAGAAAACAACAGATCAAGAGAAAAAAGAACAACGCCCTTCCAGTTCTAACATACACGTCTTTTTGAACACGATTGAAGCACAATTCGGCCGGCGGCATTGACTTCGGTCCTGGACGTATGTGCCGAGTGTTGCGTGGTTTAGGCCGAACGTTTCATTTCACATGTGACTTATTGTGGGGTTCTGAGATTTAAAAACAATTACATTTATTTGCCTTCAACATACAGCATATCATGTCTAAGTCGGGGTTGAAATGGACTTATTTGTTTTTGATTTTTTTGGTGTGTTTTTTTTTTAGTAAAATAAAATATTCATGATATATATATAATATTATGCGAGTGTATAAATGGCGAAGCCGGGTTAACGCGTAATAAATAAGGAATTTGTATTCTTTGCAGAGTCACCTCGCTATTAACTTTAATGATAATTTCAATAACTTCACAAATTGCGTAATTTACATGTGACATGATTTGAAGGGCAGAGCATGCGTGTACATATAGGTTTTTACTCTCTCAAGATGACCGTGAATGGCGGGTACCCGAGTGCTAGCACGCCGACAAAAACGAGCCTCACAGCTATCGTTTAGCCGAGAATTCGGGAATGTATTTGCATTGTACGGGGTAGTATTTTATTTTTTTTATTGAAAAAAAATGTATGCACGTCTAGTATTACATATTTTTTTTAATATTCGGTTTTCTGAATGTCGGAAAAAACGAAATTAAGATGAACCGTTAATTAAAAAGAAATAATAGTACTTATTCTTAGCTAGTAGATAAACAATGTTCGATGATGGTGGTTTGTTTACAGATCCAATTTCTGAAATAACGTTACACTTATCACAATAATGTAATTGTAAACCGAGAACAGACTTTTCAAGGCAGAGTGAACAAAGTGAGTATTGGTCACCAAATCCGGAAGGAGAATAATGCACTGGAGAGGAGCACTTGTAGCTAAGATGTTTATTGCTCAACTGCTAGGCCTCGAACTGAGTCTAAATACTCACGAGATGTTCTATACAATGTATCAATATCATTATGCAAATAACTAAACTAAACGTCATAGCCTCAAATCATTACAGTACTGTAATACAGTGACATCGTTATAAATTGTGCCCTCTAGCGATCAAGGTAGAATTTCGCTGTACTTGCAGATTCGTCGAGACGTCAGTATCGATTGGATTTACCGTTGGGGGCGGGCATGCGAAGTTATCAATCAGTCGAGTAATCAGTCGCTGCCATAATTGTGATAAATAGCGTTGTCGAACACAACAAGTAGTTCCGCTTTAGAGTTAAATATAAATAACATAGTAATACATTCACAGAAATGTTAAGGAAAGTATGTATCAATATGTACCAAAAATTATTGACAGCAGAGACCACAACATTTCCCAGCATGCTTTGCAAGTTAAACATTATACCGTTTTTTCCCCAGACAAGCTGAGTGTGGATGTGAACGTTGTACAAGTTGGGGTTGTTTCTTGTTGGGGTAGTTTGCGGAGGATTGAGTGATTGGTACAATGGCTAGCAATGTTTTCATCACCCTGTGAAATAGGTTGGCCATTACTCTGGGTGGGTTAAAATTGACGTTAGGGGGCGTACGTTTTGTCACCTAATCATGTTTGTTGGTCTAGGATTGGACTGTTTTAAAGTTATAGATTTATGAATTTCTTTTGAATATGTGAGAGTGTTCCAGTGAGTTTTTTTTTTATCAGTATTCAAGCATCATTTTCCCAGAATATTGGCCCACAATGCATTGTGTTTCGTAACTTATTTGATGGCATGCAGTGCTTAGCCTATAATAAGTATATAGAAATATAATTTGGTCTATAATGGGATATATTTGTGGAAATAGTCTATAATCATGATGCGTCATGGGGTTTGGCCAAATTTGATGCACAGTTACCCTGGGCAATTACTGCTCTAGAATACAGAGAACTGCAGTACAATTATGTATTTACGGCTTTTTACAAAGCTTGTGTGGCGCGCAGGTTGTCTGACATGTCACTTTTAGTACATTTAGCAGTTGAGCCTAGGGCCGCAATTCTCCAATAATGAACATGGTTATTAGTATCAACAACGCCACCAGCGTTGAATTGGTTTAATTCATTTTTACCCTTCGTTTAATTGAGGGCGGCCTTTATAACGACATACATCAGTCAGACAATACGGATCGATATTTATATACTAGTATATGAGATGTTGTAACTCGAAGTGGTTATTCCGAGTAATGTAGACAGCACGTGATGGTGCTTATATTTAAATTGAATCTAAGCAAAATCAAAATGAAATTCCGCGATTGTTCACATGGTGTGGGCGTGGCACTTTATGCCATCATACTAGTATACTGTGTTTCCGACTACATTCTAAAGGAATGAATGACGCTTCATAACTGCTGATATCATCGCGATTCTGAAACGCGCCGTCAAAATACTCACTCACTCCCAACTCGTTTTTTCCCGAAATCCTGAAATAAAATACACTGTATTTCATACGAGACATGGATTGCGAGATTTGGATTTGCTTACGGACAATTATTTGATAAATGAAGATAATAATGATCAAGACATTTCTTTGTCACTTACAGACTGTGTAATTATTGCACATCTCAAACTGTTTGTTTTCATTCGTTCGAAGTACAAGTGTTGAGTTATAGTCCTTATTGTTGAGTTCTAGTCCCTATTTAGATATGCTTCGTGTCTCATTTTGCGAGTACATACTTGTCACTAAACAGTTACTTGTACGGCTGTGTAGAGAACGAAGTGAAATGGCGGACTGAAAATCGGTTCTGTTTTCAGTCATGTGATTTTGAAATTTGTTGAAGGTTGTTCGACTTCGTTCAAAAAAATTAAACTCTCTTCATTCTCAGACTAGTCTGAGCTTCATTCAAGTTGCCTGCCCCACTACACCAAACGGTTTTCATCGCTGAATACAATAATGAGTCACACTTATAACTGGAAAGCCCAACATTTATTTTAATTTATTTTAACTGAATTACACGCAATAGCCTCATGACAAGGATGTTTAGGTACAGCTCTTTGATTTGTTTTCTATTTCCGGGGCTTTAAACACAGCAATATTTAAAAAAATTTAATAATATTGTCAAACAGTGCCTCTACCATCCATGTGGATTCAATACGATACACTATTACTTAATACTTTGGATTATCTGGGTTATCGAATATAATTGTGCCTAATGAAAACAGAATTAAGTGATTTTCGAACAAGGGTGTCTGACACGAGTAAATAACTGTGTATTTATATTTTACACAACCCCTCCACCGGCTGTGGTTTTTGGACAACGTCACAACGGACGAGAAGGTCATTAATAATAAGATTATCCATGTTACCGACAGACGGGAATTATTATCAAAACTTTACCTCTACCGTTCACCGCGACAAATACACGTTCAACAAACAGGATTTGGATATGAAAAACTAACTTTGAACTAAATGTATACTTTTCTTTCTACTAAGTGGTCAATTATATCCAATTTTACTTTATATACGCTGTTTATGTATACATATGTACTAGTAATCGTGACCGATGCGAGATTCCTCCCACAATCCATCGCTTCGTACAAAGCGAGGAAATGACATACTATTAGAACCATAGGACATAACCCGAGATAGTATACAAATGTCCGTAGTTCTGAATAAATAGAATCGTCGCTTCGGTCTCACGCCCGTGATTTTTATGTTTTCAGATATTCGTGAAGTGAGTTATCCTTCCACAAAAGAGCTGTGATTTGCCGTAAAATCGCCAAATATTTTCTTGTTCGTTTATATTCGTTCGTGGCTATTTACGTTGTTGAATATTGGAAACCCATCGGTATCTATAGTGTACTAGTAGTACACGATCCCCAGTGTCGGTCAGTGGTGTCGGTCAGTGGTGTCGGTCAGTGGTGTCGGTTCACGCATGTGTTATAATAAAGCCATTACCAAAACGCGTGAATTCTAAACATATAATACTCAGTTATTCGCTTTTGTGTTTATCAGTCTAAGACAATTGTGTATCGCATTCATTGAACATGTTTAAATCCAACAATGCATATCGACACTTAAATGTGGCCTTCTCCCGATGATGGCTGTCGGTTTCCGGATAACTGTTGGCGAAGTATAGCAAATAAGCCACTGTATGGTTACAGTGTCACGCGATGAGTGCGTGCCTTTGTCATCTCTTGTTCATAACTAAGTCGTGGTATACT